TCTGGCAGGAATGCAAATCATTGCATGGAGAGTATGTCGGACGAGCTTGTGGCCACGAGCACCCATATGTTCCAGATGTTCTATTTTGGTCAGTGATCCTGTTCTTTTCCACAGTTACTCTGTCAGCCACACTGAAGCAGTTCAAGACTAGCCGCTATTTTCCTACCAAGGTACTTAGACTACAATTTTTCTGATCAAAACGTGAACCAACATAAAGCATGTTATGGAGTCATGTGTGTTTTAGGACAAAAGAAAGAGCTATTGCTGTCGTTAAAGGAGCCACTGAAAGGTTTTTGTGTGATTGAGCTGCCAGTTTAGGAGTGGGCATGGTGAGGGAGGTAAGAGAAAGCATTTTGTGATACGGTGCTAGGAGTACACATTCCCTCCAGGCTTATCTCCTAACTTCAAATCCCAGAGATAAACTCCCACTTTCCCACTTTCATTTTTGGAACTCAAACGCACACACTGCATTACTGATTGTCACTTTCTTGCCCAGTGAACAGTGGGAACTATTCCAGCCTGACAGACACCTCATAGGAGCCACTGTTACATTCTGTAATTGGGAAAGCCCCTGCAAGACTCATTGGAACACTATCCTCTTTTTCATTTTTAAAGTGTCAGTCCCTCCGCCTAACCCACCACGTTTGCATCTGCATATTTGGAAAGGAAAGTAAACAGAGAAACAGCTTAGTTCAATATTTAACACTGCAAAGTAACACCTATAAGGTCTGACTCAGCCAAAAAAGAAGGAAGGAAGGAAGGGAGGGAGGGAGGGAGGAAGGAAGGAAGGAGAAAAGAAAAAGAAAAGAAACAAGAAAACAAGCTTTTTAGGGATGAGCTAAAAATTGTGATGAAAATTCTACTCTGGGAAAATGTTTTAAGAACTGCTGTTTGAGAGAAACTTGTTTTTCTTACCTCTTCCTTCCGTAAGGTGGAAGATTCATTTCTTCCCCCCCAAAGCTTAATTTGATTAATATAGAAATTTTTTTTGTATCAAACTCCTGCATTTTGTATGTGTTTGTGTGTGCGTCATAAAGGCAGCCTAATAAAAGGCAGATCTTGTTGATTATTGTTTAAGAATTTTTCTCAATGAAGGCTTTATAAAAGAGAAATGGCTTTAAAAACTGGCTTACGTAGAATAACTTTTAAATTTACTTACTCTGTTGTGCAAATTACCTGCTGCCATACTTGTAACTCAGATAAACTAACTAAAATATTATGCTTCTCCAGTAAAAATAGATAATTTTATTTTATGGTATTTCAGGTTTATCCTATTAAAATGTTACCTACGTGAGAAAGAGTACTAAAATATAGCGAAATTCTAGCCATGCAACCTTATTCTGTGAAATAAATATTCACATACTGGAATTCATAATAAACTTAGATTTTTATCAGCACTGCTGATGTAGTGGTATTGTATCATGCAAGATTCCCATAATATACTTACATTTTAAATGAATACTGAAAACAGCACAATCATCATTGTAGCTATTCCATAATGCCTCATTTTGAAAATGTTGAGTGTGTATTCATCCTAATGACAGAGATACATAAATATAAATATGACAGGAGTTAGTAATATTATAGTATGCGTAAAATATAATATTATGATATTATGTCATAAAGTGTTTATAAAGTGTGATTCTAGATTATGTTCCTGAGTATTCTTCACTATTTATAGTTCCTTCAAGTGACAAGTGTTTTCATTTTGTTTAGGTTCGATCCATAGTGAGCGACTTTGCTGTCTTTCTAACGATTCTGTGTATGGTTTTAATTGACTATGCCATTGGGATCCCATCTCCAAAACTACAAGTACCAAGTGTTTTCAAGGTGAAGTTATCATAGGATTTTCTATCATCTCTCCATCTCTGTAGGGCTAATTTTTATTCAGATGATGGCTATAACCCTAGTACTTGGGATTTTCATGAAAATATAAAGAATATCGATTAATATAACAGTAAATAAAATGCCCACAGCATGACTAAAATTTTGGCCTAATATTAAAAAAATAGAAATCACAGAAATGGACACCTAGAGGCAGCTTGAAAAAATTTTCTGTCAATTATTCCAGCGGGAATATCTATATTCTTAAAAGATAAGGAAGCATTTTGAAAGTAAGGGTAACGCACAGTGGATAGGGTTTGAAAACAGATAAAATTAGGTCTGAAATAGAGTTCAGACCATATTACTAACTATGCAACCTTGGGCCAGTTACTTTACCTCTCTGAACCTGTTTTCTCACCTATCAAAAAGAGCTAGGGGGCTTCCCTGGTGGCACAGTGTTTGAGGGTCCGCCTGCCGATTTTGATAGTCTCTTGCTCTTGTTCTTATTCTTTAATTATATTTATAACAGCCTCTCTTATCCGCAAAAAAAAAAAAAAAAAAAGACCCAGGGACTTCCTCAAAGAATTGTCAAAATGATTTCCTTTGAGACTCATCTCAGGCACCAGCCATGTTTGAACCTTTCCCTGAGCCCATGATGTGACCAAACGTCTTTTTGACATTTTTACATAGTGACCTGGATACACATCTAAAATAAGAGTTATACACAGTGGTCAATGTGATATTTGTATATGTAAATAAATTTGCCAATCATAAATGATAAATTTTAATATGATTTTATTTAATATAGGTATTGATTGAGGACACAAATTTGTGAGTCAGTTTGTCAGAGTTGCAATCCTATCTCCACCACTTACTAGCTTTGGGACCTTGAAAAATTTACTGAACCTCTCTATGTCTCAGTTTCCTTATCTGTATCTTCTTTAGACTGTTGTGAAGAAAAAAATGAGTTAAAATATTTAAAGCACTTAGAATAGTGTCTGGTACCTTATAAATGCTTTGTGAATATTATTATTATTAAATATATAATTCACTTGGCATATCAGTTTATAACTAGGGCTTTCCTGGTATTATCTGTAAGACAATTTGATTAGGTATTCATTAATCCAGTTAATAACTGTGCATTCTTTAATTTTTCACAGCCCACAAGAGATGATCGTGGCTGGTTTGTTACACCTTTAGGCCCAAATCCATGGTGGACAGTAATAGCTGCTATTATTCCAGCTTTACTTTGTACTATTCTAATTTTTATGGACCAACAGATTACAGCCGTCATCATCAACAGAAAAGAGCATAAGCTAAAGGTATATTTTAACCTCCATTTTAATGTAAATCATTGTGATTCAACTGATGTCAATTATACTTTATACTGATGTTTATTATATTTTGTATTCTATAGTCATTTGTATAGTGAAATATTAAAATATTTTCAGATTCATAATTTTCTATATTCATGGTACTTTGTCTTACGATAAGTTTAAAATTAATTAATTAATTATTAATTAATTAATTAATTTATAGCACTTGGCTGAGCTCTAAACTCTGGAACCTTACCTCCAGGACTTAAAATTTAAAAACATTGCCAAAGTTCTAGCTTTCTTTACCATGTTTAACACATTGTAATGAAATAATCTATTTTGGTGAAGTGTAGCCTTACCAATTTGTCTTACATCTGGGGTTCTTCTATTTCTCTATTTGACCTTAAGTATATCTATTAGATTGCATTCATTTTGGAACAAATTACATCTTCAAATAATTCTCATTTTCTTTAGTCGTTCCTCCATCTATAATGTCTATGACATTAAAACCAGTCATAAATGTTATAGTTTGTGACATCTTTGTTGAGTTTTAGTGCAGATTCTAATGACTTTCTTTTACAAAAAGAATAAATATGAATGTATCTTATTTATTATATTCTGACCCTGCCATTTTGCAACTGTGAAAAATTAGCTGTTCACTGGTGTGCAATTTGTCTGAGATGTGTAATGTGAGCACTATCATTTATAGGAATATGTTAAATAAAATCAAAAAAATCATTGAATGGTTAAAAGTACTCTGAATCAAACCTTACAAAAACAGAACAGGCACAATCTTGTTTTTTCTGGTATCATGGGATAATTGCCAGCTATCCTCACATACTCTTTAAACTCTCGGAAGAGTTTCATTGTCAGAGCAACAGAAATCTTACTTTATAGAATTTTTAAGTATGTTTGTTAGAAAGATTTAAAAATCAGATTGAACCATTTGAGGGGAAGTAGTAATGACATAAGAAAGCACAGTTATTTGTAATAAATCTTACTGAAAAGGAATTTTGTCTATTATATTGGGGAGAGTGTGTGTCTCTCTTAAAATAAAGAGCATTCTTTATTCTCTTTGTAGAAAGTAACTTAAGCGTGCTCAAAACCTTTTTTAAAATGAGTTCATATTCACTTCTTGTTTTTGTCAAAAAATTTTTTGATTATTAAAGATGTATTCTACCAAAATGTCACATGAAGTCTTAGGAACTAGACCAGTGATGTGCTGGTACATGTTTAACAACCAGTCCTCTGTGTATAAAAAGAAATACCCTGATTTATAATGTTTGCCGATTTTCATGATGTGAATACTCCCATCGTGGCCCATTTCAAGCTACAAGAGTGACATCAATTGGCAGGAAAAATTTTGAAAATTAAACAATTGGTTCTTATAAGTCTGTATGAGCTGGCTCCAAAATACTGCTGAACTACATTATTCAATATTAGAAACTTTAAATCATTTACAGCTCTCAAAACAAGAAATTCAGATTTCCAAATTAGTAGTCAGCTTATTTAATATCAATCATTCAAAAATATTATTTGCTTCTAAAATATCAGCCTTCTGCAAAAGCAAATACCACCACAACTTAATTATTAAAGTTATGTAGTTGATTAAGTAGATCTATAAAACCAGTGTTAAGAACTTAATGTTGAATGCTGTTAGTCTGCTACTCTCTGAGAAGTAGGAAAACATTTTTCCTAGACACCAGTTTATTTTTTAAAACTGAAAACATCTCTATTTTTCCCATTTCTGTTTTTATTATATACCGAAATTTGTATTTTCATACTACATATGTTGCTTGTTGTTTTTACATAAGAGCATTATAATGGTAATTATCCAATGCCAACAATATAAATATAAATCTGCATTATTATTTTTAATGGCAGTATATATGTTTCCTTGTATGGCACATGTTTTAAAATGAACTAAAAGACTCCTGTTTTAGAAAGGAAGTAAGCTATGTAATCATTGTTTCCCTTTCAAAGGAAGTTGTTTTTTTCTCTTTTTTTTTGGCTTTTATAATTAGACAGAAATATCACTGATTTAACTGAGAAATTTTCCTTGTAAAATTTTTTTCTAAATATTAGTGGAATCATTAAAACAGAATGTGGAAGTAAATGAAGAATTGCCCAGGGTGATGTTACCTTTTTGGCTGTCCTGTATGCTTGCTGTTTCCAGATCTCTCCACCTTATAAATCACATATTGCTTGCTCCTTGTTCTTCATGAGCCCATGGTAGGCCCTTGACATTCACAGACTTTCCAAAGCTCCAGATCAACAAATATACTATATTTACCTCCCCTTTACATATCGTATAGAATAGCTAAAATATAATAAAGCATTCTTTAAGTGGTCCTTTCAAGTATCTGCATTTATAAAATTAAATGTAGAACTAAAGCATTTAATATTTTTGTCACTGAGACAAACTTGAGACTATATTATTAAACTATATTACATTATTTGTACATTACTTTTTATTGTACAAATGACTATGTAATCAAAAGATTCATATTTTACCCCTTAATAGCCTGGATTTAGTAAACAGCAAATCTGGCTTAATCATAAACTTTGCTACATTGCCGCAAGCAGAGGAGTTAGTCTTTTCTTGGCCACTATGAGTCTGAACACCCCATTCTCCTCCTTGGATATGGATATTTGCAAAGTAAGTTCCTTCCAGTGAAGACATATTTTATCTACACCGAACACTTTTTTTTTTTGGCCTTTAACCCTTGTCTTCTCTAAGCTTCACTACAGTGTGGTCTACTGCTACTGATTTTCCTGTTAATAACAGCAAAAAATCACTTTCTCAGAATGTTCTTTACTCAGAGTAATGGTTTCTTCCATAGCCGCTCTCCCGCCTGTTGCTTCCCTGAAGTGTTTGCACAGTCTCTGGCTTTAACTTGAACCACATTGTCACAAAAAAGACACATGTTTCTTGAATATATCCCCAGACCACAAGTTAATCACATTTTCAGCTTTTACTTATTTTCTTTTCTCCCTAGAAAACCCATTTTTGCCTTGGTTGGAGCATTCCCTGAGATAGTTTAATGAATGATGGTTTCTAGCTTCTGTATCAAGCACCTGGTAGAGGCCACATCATGTATCTAAGTCTACATCTCATATCCAAGTCACCTAGAAATTCATCATTTCATTCTTTATCTCTCCCAAACTTATATTTTAGATCTTTTCACTTTCTCTTCACTTCCATTACCAAATCCAGTAGCTGGTTTTCTTTTAGAGGATTTTTTCCTGCCATTAAAAATCTCTTTATCGTTTTGTGAGTGTTAACTGTATACGTAATAAAGCTGTGTTGAGATGAAGAGTCTAGCTCCAACTCACAGGCTAAGTGACTAACTCCTCCCTCAGAACGAACAATTTCAAGATTAGCAAAACTCATTGCACCTCATGATCCCTTGGGTCACTCAAAAGTAGCAGAAGTTGCAAATGTAAAAACATGAGAATGCAGATTTCATCTATATTGTATATAGACGTAAATTCATATTCTCTGTAGCATTTCTCATTTGTTTGTTTCTTCCCTAGAGAAGTGGAATAAGCATTGGTTAACTGAATCCCTTTGAAAAGCATTAAACATATCCACTTTTTAAAAAAGTACATTCTCTAAAAGTGGATAGATAGATATTATCTTTCAGAAAAGAAAGTTTCTGCTAAGATACAACCGTGGGCTTTTCTACATGTTTCTGTAGACAGTTCAGGCTTCTTTTGACATCATTTTTAATAAACAGCAATACAATTCCAGATCACTTGAGTAAATGGATGCATTTGCAACATTCATTTGGCACTACATTCTCTTGATGATTATGGCATTTGATATGTTCTTTTTTGCCCTCTTTGTCAGCCTGGTTCTTCATGTCAATCTATAGTCTTTTATGTGGTTAACTTGACAGATGCAGGAAATTGCTGCCAAGCTTTGAGACGAATTTTTTCAGCAGTGGCATCTGGGTATCAGATGGTCCTCTTGGCTGGCCTCTTGTCTTGCTGCATGTTGGTTTTAGTGGGGTCTGGTGCAGCATCACCTGTTGCTATGCTCCCTTTTCCTCCCATATGTCCATTTCCCGTGATTCATGGATGAATGTGAGAATAGAAGCTCTGGTTCTGTCTTTATTTCAGAAAAAAAAAACCTACAGAAATATGTTAGAAGGTGCACAGTTCTCTCTCTGACAAAGGGACACTTCCCTTTGGCTGGCAGGCCTATCAGCTAATACTATGGTTACAAAGACCATGTTTTTAAAGACATTTTAAATGAAAGGCAAGAAGAAGGATAATGACTAATTAGTGGAAGTGCCAGAACTGCTTTATTTCCTTTGATTCACATTAAGATGCTCCCATTGCTGTATAACATAATCAGGGGGAAATTGTATTTTTGTTTTTATTATCTACTTGGACTTTACAAAGCTTGCTTTCTAAGTTTAAAAAGGAAATTATTCCCTCGGAAAGCATTATTTTGTCTGCTTCCTGCAATCTAGAATCCCACTGTTTACATTTGTATCATATTTTTAAAACACTAAGACAAGAGCTGTAGGAAATCACTCTCGTGAAGAAGGCCTTCCTCATATTATTAAGCCATAGGGAGCATGGACCCTGGGAGAGTCCAGGGTGTGCTAAACGCACAAGCCTGACTCTCAAGGCCCCTTGTCCTTTGCCCTCCTCTAATGTTTACCTCTCAGCTACTAGCACCTCTTCCATTCTCTCTTAGCAGTACCACAACTTTGCAAAACTGCCCAGGGGGCACCGTTCACATTGTATTGCCTCAGCGGTGGAGGCTTAAGGGTCACGTCCTTCGCTGTTCTATATTCTTCACACTCCAGAGTTCCTAGGACAAAACACTCCTCTAACTGGTTAAGATGTGTTCCTTTAATGGGACTAAAATTTGAGTTCTATGCAACTGCATTTTCCAAAATGTTCTGCAAAAGGACCAGGGGACCAGAGTATGGCCCTAGTGAAGCTAGTTACACCTTTTTGGTCATGCTGACACCAGGGTGTTTCTCTTCTCACCCTCCATCTCTTAATAATGAAAACCTCTCCCGAGTTACTAGCAAAAGAAGTTTCTAGGGCTTCCCTGGTGGCGCAGTGGTTGAGAGTCCGCCTGCCGATGCAGGGGACGCGGGTTCGTGCCCCGGTCTGGGAGGATCCCACATGCCGCGTAGCGGCTGGGCCCGTGAGCCATGGCCGCTGAGCCTGCGCGTCCGGAGCCTGTGCTCCGCAACGGGAGAGGCCACAACCGGAAGAGGTACGCGGGAGAGGCCCGCGTACCGGAAAAAAAAAAAGAAAAAAAAAAAAGTTTCTAAAGTCATATTCACAAGGGAAGTTAAGTTTAGGCATTTGGGTGAACTGGAGCATTGCCCCAGCTAAGCTGACCCAAGGAGGGGTCCCACGGAATTGGGGACAATGCAGGAGGAAAAGGTCCTTACGTGGTATCTCTCATTTTCTCCTCGCTGTCATCTCCTACACTTTTATAATTTGTCAGGGATAAGCAGAAAGGGAAGGAAGTACAACCGATTTTAAGGGTGTTTTTCTTAATAAAACAACAAAATAAAATAGCAGAAAGAAAACACTGCCATGACAAATACACGTCAGATACTCAGTATGTTTCACCCTCCAGGCTCTAATAGCTTTCAGATTAACTGGAAACTGCTTGCAGCTTGGTAAAACTGCCTGTAAGAAAAGCCAAAATTATTCCTCTAGAATAATTGGTAATTTTTGCTCGTGCTCATAATAATAAATTTAACAGCTATATTTATTTTAAAATTATACCGGTTTGATTCTAAAAACTGTTTCAATAATGCATATTTCCTTTTAAAAAAGTCAATCTGTAACTTTTTGATTGCTTATTGTATGTCAATGATTGCACTAAAAACTGAGATATACTGAGAAATTGTATGACAAGTTTACCTGCCCTTAAGAAACATTTATATATTTTTATTGAGGATCCTTGAAACAAGTGAGTACAAAAGAAAAATGTATTGTTCAACTGCTAGAATATAATAGCCCCTAACATTTACTGGGTACTTACTAATATATCAGACATTGTTCTAAATGATGTGCAAAATCATTTGCAAATTATTTAATTCTCACAACAACCCAGCAAGATGTCTTCTGTTATCATCACCATTTTTCAGATAGGGAAACAGAGGCACAAGAAGTTACATGATTTGCCCAAGATCATTGGTTGAGCCAGCATTTGATTCCAGGCCACATTCCTCATTTACATTTCCTGCCTGTTTCAAGAAAGCTCCGAAGTTTGCAACCTCTGGAGGCCAGTGATAGCACAGGAGGATCATAGAGGAGATAGAAAACACAAAAACTATCACTTTAAGGAGAGGCTAAATTTTTCCAGTGCTGAAACTGAAACAGATGAGAACAAGATGCAGTAGTAATATATTAAGATAAAAATGAGTATATATGGAAGTTTAGGTTCTATGATATTATTTTTCCTAGTAAAAGTCACGCGTTGAGACAAAACAGGGCAATTGGAAACTGAGGGTTTAAGAAGAGTTTTTCTTTAGGAGATATTAGCAGAAAGGCTTCTTGGGTATTGTCAGGAAGTGGTTTCTAGTCACAACCAAGCCATTCTTAGCTCTGCTGTGGACACAGCCCATACTTTGTTTTCTCAGCCTGATGCCTGGTGTATAATTGGTGCTCAGTATTTTTCATATGAATTAATGATGAAAGACTAGACATATGGATTGCAAATTAACCTGCCCATTTAAGGAACCAAAGTGAAGTGACTGTATTTGATAGACTTTACCTATTCAATAGAAGTAGAATAGAAACTAATGTACCATTAAGCCAGAATTACATTAAACCTATTAAAATATGCAGAAGCCACTATAATCATAATTGCAGTAGGAACACCTGCAACTTTTCTTTAATTGGATTATATATTTTGAGACTGTTATCTTTTTAATTTATTTTGCATTTTAGAATCAGTTATACAAGATTCAAGATAGTATCTCTTTTCTATTCTTTACTATTCCATGGTGGTGGTGTCATTGGTCTCTATGCCAAATTCAGGTAGTATGAGAATCCTTTTTTCTTTCTCTTAACAGAAAGGTTGTGGGTACCATCTGGATCTATTAATGGTGGCTGTCATGCTTGGTGTGTGCTCCATCATGGGCCTGCCGTGGTTTGTGGCTGCCACCGTCCTCTCCATCACTCATGTCAACAGCCTAAAACTGGAATCAGAGTGTTCAGCTCCAGGAGAACAACCCAAATTTCTTGGCATTCGGGAGCAAAGGGTTACTGGCCTTATGATTTTTATTCTTATGGGTTCATCAGTCTTTATGACCAGTATTCTGAAGGTAATGAAATCTGCCTTTATGAATTTGCGAGAAGGAGGAATATATTTATTATTGTTTAAGAAATTTCATTTGAATCTAAGCCATCAATTTGTAAATATTGTATGGCATGTGATGAAAGTGATGAATTTTTTTTTACCATGTTTATATAGCTTCTTAACAAGGGAAATTATGTGCTATATTTTAGAATCCTTAAATACATAAAAAAATTAAATCTGGCAGAGTAAAATTTGATGTGGAAATTATTATTGTAATTTTGAAATGAAAGTCAGGTTATGGGAAAGAGTCACTCATCTCTGACTGACCTGTGACCTGAGTTTACTGTAGGCCTACACAAAATAAAGTTTCTATTTTCTTGTCAGTGGACAGATATATTTGCAATTAATATTACTTAGTGTAAGGTGGAGGTGCAGAGATAAGCAATGTCATGGTCATGGACACATACGCAGTTTTGTATTTTAAATGTTTCATAAAACTACTACATGAACATTATTATTATACATACTTATTTTTTATGTTTCAAGTAGTTGAATCCTGAACTTTCTGAATATATTTGGGTTTATTAAACCCCATCATAATTTTACTAACAGCTATTTTTCTGTGTATAAAATTAATCTCAAGTTATGAAATAAAGTATGTCTCACTTCTATCCTTAAAAAAATAAAATAAAATAAAATAGTTGAATCCATTTTAAAGAGCATTAAAGAGTAATTGCTTTGTCATATAATTTTGACAGGTACTTCAAAGGTGTGTTAATTGTATTTTAAATTATAACTCATTTTAGTTGTCCATACTATGAAAATTCTAACTGAATTATTTAATAAGTTATACAAGTTTACCTTTATTTAATAATTTACACAATTTGCAAGAACTAATTTCTATGTTATATGAGTAATTGCAGAGAAAAAAATGATGCTGAGGTATTCCAATAAAAAGAGAAAAATTGAACCATCCACATGTTTACAAGTATCTGGTATAATGTAGGAACAATGTCTAAATGTTAGCTCCATTCTTCACCTTTAATCTAAATATCTTACCGTTGTGAAACAAAATTCAAATTTCCCTAAAGCAGCATAATAATAATAGTTAATATTTATTGTTTGTTACATATCATATGTGTTTTTATTGGTTTTGACCTATTAAATGCTTATAACAGACCTATTATTATCCCTTTTTAGATATTGGGAAACTAAGGCACAGAGAGCTTAGGTAACTTACCTAAGGTTATGCAGCTAAAAAGTGCTTAGAGCTGGGATTTTAACCCATGTCTTCTGGCTCTGCCCTATACTGCTTCTAAAATATTTATTTATTTTTCTGTGTTTTTCTTTGGAAGTGCAGAATATATTGACCACATTATATTTGAAAATAACTTGTGCCTTTTTTCTAATTGTTCTTTAACAGTTTATTCCTATGCCAGTGCTATATGGAGTGTTCCTTTATATGGGTGCTTCATCGCTAAAAGGAATTCAGGTAAATTACAGTAATACAAGCACATCTGTGATGACTTATCTTAAGGTCTGTTGATGCTAAGTCATGTGGTAGCCAACAAAATACCATTATCTGAGGAGCAGCTTTCAGACTACAATTAAATTTCTTCAAACTGGTTCATAATCTGAGGGTACTTTTGTTTACTATGAGTGTATTAAAACTGTAAAAGGTTTAGACTTTATAATCCTTTTAGAAAAAGATAGCAGTACATTTAAAAATATATCCAAATACTTTTGATCTTTGATAACTGTGATCATGTATGTGGACACCTATCTATGAAAACAGTAAAGAAAATTTTGCACAAAGATGTTCCTTGTAACACATATTATCAAAATATTGGAAACAACCCAATTATTCAACAGCAGTAAAATAATTAAGCTATCTAAGGTACATTAGTTTAAAATTGATAAATATGATGACTATAAAAATAACACAGTAAAAATGCTTATGACAAAGTGAAATGCAAAGTTAAAAAGTGGAAAAATGAGTTGTAGCTATGATAGGTTTGTAAAACTGTGAGTGTGGGTGGATTAAGAAGGAAGGTAGAGAAATAAAGACAATTTATTAAGGTAATGAGCGCCTGGGTGATATTTTTTCCTTTTATGTTTGTTTTCCTGTTGTTATTACAATTGTCTTTATAGAATTATTTTGTAAATTAGTAAGGAAAACCTTATTAATTGTTTAAGTATTGGTTAAATAAATATAGTTTTTGTATTAATTTCCCATTGCTACATTACAAATTGCTGTAAAACTTAGTGGCTTAAAACAGTAAAAATTTATTATCTCACAGTTTCTGTGGGTCATGAATTTGGGAACTTATTAGCTGGCTGATTCTGGCTCAAGATGTTTCACGTGGTTGCTATCAAGATGTGGACAAGAGCTGCAGTCATTTGAAGGCTTGAATAGGACTAGAAGGTGTATTTCCAAGATGGCTTATCATATAGCTGAGGGCAAGAGACATTAGTTCCTCTCTGGCTGTTGGTAGGAGGCCTCTTCATCAGACACCTAAATGTCCTCACACTAGAGAAGCTAACTTCCATCCCAGTGAACAATACGAGAGAGAACGAGGGCAAAGTCACTGTGCCCATTGACAATCTCCAAAGTTACGCACGGTCACTTCCACTTTTTTTCTATTTGTTAGAAGCAAGTCATTGTGTCCAGTTTGCACGCACAGGGAGGGAAATTAGAGTCCATCTCTTGAAGAGAATAATGCCAAAGAATTTCTGGACACATTTCAAAAGTACCACAAGATTATTCTAAATTTTTACAGAGGCTGTTGACAAATTATTCCTGCTTATGTTACTGTAGTGGGTTGAATAGTGCCTCTTCCCCCCATTCATATCCACCTGGAATCTCAGAATGTGACCTTATTTGGAAATAGAGTCTTTGCAGATGTAATTAGTTATGGATTTCAAAATGAGCTCACCCTGGATTTAGGGTGAACCCTAAATCCAATGACTGGGGTCCTTATAAGAAGAGGAGAGGACACAGAGAGACATAGGGAAGAAAGCCACATAAAGGTGGAGGCAGAGACTGGAATTTTGCCACCACAAGCCAAGGTACATCAGGAACCAACAGAAGCTGGAAGAGGCAAGGAAATTTTCTTCCCTACTGCCTTCAGAGGGAGCATGGCCCACCAACACTCTGATTTGGGGATTCTGGCCTCCACACTGTGAGAAAATAAATTTCTATTGTTTAAGCCACCAAGTTGTAATTTGTCACAGCAGCACTAGGGAACTAACACAGGTTTCGACTTAAATTTGCCTTTGAATCATCTTGTTTTATAACAACATTATTGGTCCAAAACACTTAAATTTTCTTGAAAAAGAGACAACTTTTGAGGATTATTTATTGTAAAGTATAGTTTGTTTTTGTTGGCTAAAAGTCAATACAAAGTACCACGTTTTCTTTGACAAGCCAGACTCACTGCCATTCAGAGACCTACAGGGGAAAAGTCATCTGAATAAGTGCTATGAATTTGTCAAATTAACACTTTTTAAGTGGAGCACAGGGTGCTGGATGGTGAACTGCGGTTCAACAACAGACCATAAGAGAAACTGAAATAGAGAAGTTTATCACTCACAGGTCTACCCAGGAAGTACCTGGCCTTGAGGGGCCGCATGGGGAGGTCCAGACAAAGTGAAGACAGAGAGAGGGAGACAGGACCTGGGACACATGCTTTTATTAGGGTCAGTGGGTGGAGTGCTTTGGGGTTCCTGGGCTAAGGCCGAATTGGACTCTTCCAATCAAAAGAGCAGGGTTTTGGTAAGCTTTGTGGGAGTCTTATCTAAGGGGTGTATAAGGAGAAGGCAGTGGGGGGCAGGGGAGGTTGCTGATCACAAGGGCCGTTGGAGAAGCTACATCAGGAACTTATAACTATTTGCGACGCTACAGGCAGCTGTCTAAGGCATACACTTGCATGAGGGGTTAGGGTAGTTTAAGGTCACCTCAGGCTGCTTGATCAAACAAAATGGATGATAAGGCAGCAACACTAAGGAATAGCTTAGCTAAACTCTCAACACTGAGAGGAACCCTTTTCCTGAATAAACAACTAACCAGCTTCTGCCTTTGGGAGACGGAAAACCTCTTTAGCCTTAGGATACTGCTGAATATCAGAACCGAGGCAAAACTTTAATATGACATTACTGTAAGATCACTGAACACCCAAAGTAGATAGCATGCCTCTGTTCATCCTGCCACTGGGTAAAATTAACTTGGGAGAAGGAGATGGTTGAGAAGTGTTATGCATTTAATTTTACTCAAACTACATTTAATTTGCTCAGCTGTAACTTCATGTATGAAAAGTATATTTTAAAAGAATTGGTTTGGTAAGGCAGATAGGGAAGAGTATTGAAAAGGTTTTGTTTATTTGTTTTGCTGGGTTTTTTGTTTTTTGTTTTTTGTTTTTGCCTTTGGCAGAGGTTCCATGAGTACTAATATCAACCGTAAGTGAAAAGTATTTATTCTTAGGCCTCGGGCTCACATCAATACCGCAGCAGAAGTTTAAGAAACAAAGTAAAATCACTTTGATAGGCTGCAACAGGTTTTTCCCCCTAATTCCACTCACATGATTTTATACCCGTGAGGTTTGGAACTAAACAAGAATGTCAAATTTTGGAATTATTTGGGGTGTGAATCTTTCAAATGAAAATTGAGGAAAACATTATCAAAGGCCCATGAGAAAAGTACAATGAGTTCTAAATAGTACCAATGAAACAGCAAATAGGGTTTCACACTGAGAAACAGAGTTAGTGAAAATTTAAGTGAGCCCAAAACTCAGGGAGTTGAAATTCCTATTTGGTATTTTGTGGTTAACTGGATGGGAAAACGGGATATTGATATTAGGACCAGATCAAAGGCAAATGCAAAACTCAGAATACGTTTAGCATGATTATCATTACTTGAGTAATAATAATTAAAAATGTGCTGAATATCAACCGTTCAAGAAGCATGTCAATTTGTTACCCTGTTTGTTGGAGGGCTCTATGTGTTACCTGTTCAGAAACTTATCTAGGCTTCTCACTGTGCAACACGGCAGAAGAAACAGACTAGTGTTCTCATGAATGCTGTTTCTGTACTCTGATATATAACCACATTTATATTCACTCCAGCACTTCAGGAATCCAAAGTAAAGCAAATGTGCCATTTAAGCAATAACAAGTGAAGCACTCACACACTGAAGTACATTTATGCAATAACATAACTTCACAAATGGAGAAATGGTGGCTGGGAAAAATTAGTTCTATAGAAATTGAACCATTCTGTTATAACCCCAAGGATTTTACTTTATTTCTTCCCTATTGCCACCTCCACCGCGCAGTTTTATTTATTTAATGACATGTAATTTTAAGAGATATTTAGGAGGTAGAAATAAAAAGACCCAGTGAAATATTTGTGGACAATATAGAGAGGGATAAACCAGAAACTAAGTCAGCACTTAGTACTCTGCATAGAAGGTTTTCAACAAATTTTTTGGAATGTATAAATGAATATGAATGAATAAATGAACAGTGGATGGGCTAAACTATGTATGATTCTGGTTTAGATGCCTGAGGGAAGGTCATGCTGCACACAGGGCACACAGAAGGAAAGATGGGTTTATGTTGAATTTGGGATATGAGGAGGCTTTGGTAAAGCATGATTTTTTTTTTTTTTAAACATCTTTATTGGACAAACATGATGTTTTGCCACTAACACTTACTTGACTTCATGGGCATTTGTTCCTTGGCATATTAGAGTAATTTTGGATATTTGATGAGAATTGCTTACAATTTTCTTATATAAAGTAGCTAAGGACTAAATCTAATATATACTCTTAAAATACATAGGAGATATTCCTGTAGAAATGGTATGATATAGAACTGACTGATTGAAACTGTCATTTTCTAAATCATCGCTTCTTGTTGGAAATATTGAAAACTGAAAAATTTGGCCTGAGAAAAATTAAACAAAATGATAAAGCTAACATGCAGTACAGTTTGTTAATAAGTAAAATGTGATTGAAGATCACATTTGATCAAGAAACTAAACGAAGTTAAAATTTGTTCTGAAAAATACTTTATTAACAATAATTCATCTAGATTAAATCTTGATGGCCAAGATGTTTGTATTTTTAGAAACAGCACCAAAACCTTGTTGGGGATCAAAGTGGCAAGGCCAAAACAGCAGAGTCAAACTAAGGAGGTCAGAACATCCTACTCAGCAGCTGGATATGGGTCTAGAGCTCAAGACAGAGCTGAAGTAGGGTTGAGGTCTGAGAGTCTTTAGCAAGTATGTGAAAGTTGAAACAATGCGTACGGATGAGCTATTCAGGAAAGAAGAGTCCAGGAAACCCTAGTACTTAAGGGGCAGGTAAAAGAAGACATTGTGATGTGATGATGAAGAGGATGATGATAATGTTTTCTTTCAAGGCTATACTCTCTGAGGGAGCAACATTTAGCATTGGCTTTAATGTTATTAAACTCTTTTAAATTATAACATGTGTCCATATTCAAGAAAATGTGGGATATTATAAAGCTGAAACTGTATTATGTCAGAGTGTACGCTTAACAATAGTATTGTCCTGATGTCAACTTAAGTGTGATCTCCTATATATTGGACCATATTATACATTTACTTGTCCTACTTCTATTGCTGTCTGTAAAAAGCAATTTAGTCTGTTTATCTTCTAGTTCTTCGATAGAATAAAGCTCTTCTGGATGCCTGCAAAACATCAACCAGATTTTATATATCTAAGGCATGTACCACTTCGAAAAGTCCATCTCTTCACAGTTATTCAGATGAGTTGCCTTGGCCTTTTGTGGATAATAAAAGTTTCAAGAGCTGCTATTGTCTTTCCCATGATGGTATGAAACTTCTAACCCAACTCTTTTTCTCCTCCTCTGATTTTCTGCTCTCATTGAAAATCCATGAACAAACTGGGTCAATAGAATAATTTTGAACAATTTTTGGAAATCTTGGTATAAACTTTAGCCACTAAAACTAGTAACTAAGATTGGGTTTCAGATTATATATGAATTTCAGTGATTCATACTAGCTTCATGTCTATCATTCTAAATATTAGCAGTAGTTTGAATTAATTGAAGTTGGGTGGAAGACGTAAACTTTCAAAATTTAACTTTACAGATATACTAGAAAATTTGAAAATGTAAGGGGATTTTTTTTTTTTTTTTGCTGTACGCGGGCCTCTCACTGTTGTGGCCTCTCCCGCTGCGGAGCACAGGCTCCGGACGCACAGGCTCAGAGGCCATGGCTCACAGGCCCAGCCGCTCCGCGGCATGTGGGATCTTCCCGGACCGGGGCACGAACCCACGTCCCCTGCACCGGCAGGCGGACTCCCAACCACTGCACCACCAGAGAAGCCCGTAAGGGGATTTTTGAAATTAAATTTTTTAACATCTTTATTGGAGTATATAAAATCAAATTTTATTAACTATTTTAAACCAGTTTCAAATACTTCAAAAATAAAGTGAATTTGAATTACTATAAGTAATTTAAAATATCATCAGCATAGGTAATAATGGTTTAATGTTCATTTAAAATAATGTAAACTATTAACTATGTGTATTTAAGGAAACAGTCAAATATATAGTTTTTTTCATTGCTTCTTTAAATGACTCATATAATGGGTAAAATGATAGCCGTTATTCTGGAGATGTGGTAAGAAAAGGAAGTGAAGGAAGCAAAAGTACACTCAATATCTTTTATATGCACATATCTTCAGATTTCACTTTAATGTCAGCCCTAATTGAAGTTGACTTGTTTGTACCAAAAAACAAACAAATCTAAACCACCCATTTATATTTTTTCCCTGTTTTAAACTGTTTTATTATTTACTTCAGGTGTTAGCTCTGGTATTTGTAAGAAAGTTGATGGACCTTCTGTTTACCAAACGGGAACTCAGCTGGTTGGATGATTTAATGCCTGAGAGTAAGAAAAAGAAACTAGAAGATGCTGAAAAAGAAGTAAGTCAGAGCAAAATCAGTATCTTATAAAGAAAAGAAAAAGGAACACTTGCACAGTAATAGCTCTTTGCAAAGCTAAAGTTTTGTGTTTAGCTTTAGATAGTTACTACTAACAAACACAGGTGGACTATTCTGGAAGATTGATGTTAAAATCATCAAGCTGGAACTTGAACAGAGAGAGGACATATCTTACATGAGTAAACCAAACCCTAATGAAATATGCAAATACTTTGTCCTTCACTATCCTTATAACTGCATATTATATATAATATGCAAATACTTTGTCCTTCACTATCCTTATAAAAATAAACTGCAGTTTATTTTTCTGCTTCCTCTCTTCAGGATTTCAGAAACTTATTGATGCTTAAATGTTTCCAAATTATAGTCATGCAATGATTGCTTTTTAGTTGAATATGTGAGAAGAAAAAAAAAAGACATTATTACTGTTGGCATTTTCCTAGGGAGCAAAGTTTTAATAAAAAGATTCTAATTCTAATTAAAAGATTAAATTAGTTATTCTTGAAATAGATGAAATGCTTAAGAGGAAAACACGTTGATCTGATTTGCTTTCAAAGTGCTTTGAGTAAATGTTGTTAGAGAAACTTTGGGTATTTAATTACTTTCACAGACTGCTGATTTATCCTATTCTGTTTCATATGTTAAAACAATTGGTTTTAAGTTTTATGACATTTAAATTCATGTATAAGCCTGGGTCTATTTCGAAGGCTAGTAATCATAATATTTTTAAAGTATGTAAAAACTACAAAGAGTAAAAATGAAAAAAATGACAAGTTCATCATTTAGCAGAATGATCGGGTCCATAGATCGTAAAATATAAGAATAAAATTTTCATGTAACTGGAAATGAATATGAAAGAAAATACTTGGTGAGACTTATGCATTATTCTTTCCATTTTTTCTTCGCCTATACAGCAGTCAGTAAATGTATTCAGTTTCCTACCTGCGGTGTATTTTCTCAAACCATAGGTATATTCCTCTTTCCTTTGGGGAATTTGTTTGCAAACATTTCAATGGTCTTAGGTTTTACTTAGCCATTAGATGAGTCCAGATTAGGCCACAGAGTCTAATGGATTACAGATAAGTCTACATAATATGTGACTGTCTGGCATTTCTTCACTTTTCCATGTTGTCCTATTACCGACAACGGATTCCACATTTAAAGATTGATCGTAATGATGTATCTTAATTCTATATGACTATTTCAATTTTCCCAAATGTTGTTGTTTCCCAAATGTTGTAGACTTCTAGCAATACTTATATAATTATACTTATATAATACTTCTAGCAATACTTATATAATGTTAAAAATGTCATTATAAAATTATCATGTTTCTTTACTTTTGTCAGTTTGATATATTCTTAAGTATGAGAATTTTTTAAAAATAGTGCTTTAACTATTTTTCCAAGTTGATATATTCTCATTTAAGTATGAGAGTTTTTTTTTAATAGTGCTTTAACTAAGATATTTGGATAATTTCTGTTTGTTTTTAGGGCTTTAGTAAAGGTTTGCTCTCATCCTCAGGTACTGTTCAAGAAGAATATGACAGAATTTGGTATAAGATAAATGTAAATAAATAGACACAAGAATATAGAAACACTAAAGCCTTAAAGTATCCATGCTTGACATAATTAAAATTTATTCAGGTTGAAAACAATTTCTAAGAAGGTTTAAATTCCAAGAAAGACAACTTTGAATACAAAACTCATTGACCACGAGCTTCCGTATAGTCTTTCTGATAATGAGAATGTTAAGTATTCTGATGCAGTAACTTACAAATGTAATTTTGCTTTAGTTTCCTGCTTTGACTTCCTGTCAAATGTCTCGACTACTTCTGTAGGAATAAGCTAGCAACAGCTCCAGGCATACAATCATTCCTTTTGCAGCATTCTCCTTAGGCCATATCCGTACCGTGGAACATTCTTGCCCTTCTAAAACTTTGTAAAAAGAAAAATAATATGTATATATAATATATTATGCTTAATATTCTTCCCTTTTTTCATTCAAAGAAAATTTCAGATTCTTCCTTTATATATCTGTGAAATAGGAGAGAACAAATTTGACAGTAATCATAAATGTATTAGAATCTGCCGTTTCCATTGCCCAGAACCATTCACATAGCTACATATGTATGGTACTTATATGTATGTGTGCCATATGTCCATTTTGGAATTTATTAACTTCAGATAGGCAGAGATGCTATGTAATGAGCTTCTAACCTTTTTGGGTATTATAAACCCATTGTACACCAATGGGGTGTTGACTGTTTTCTGATTATTATAAAGATTTTAGAAGTAATTAAATATTACTAAAATTCCTAGAACTCAAGTTTTCTAAAAGGGTTCAAAAAGAGTTTAAAGATTTATTGAGGCAGAGTTACAGCTGTATCCTTTGGTTCGGAGTATGAGAAAAAGTAAGGGAAAATGCCTTGTAATACATTAATCAGGCAGGTTTACAGACCTTTAAATTCTCAACTAGATTAATATGATGATACTTTAATGTAATCCTCAGTACGTGGAAAGAAACAAGTAAACGAATAATACAGTCAAGAAATAATCCATAATTGAACATTAAAATATAGTTCTGACCAGTGCAAAGAAAGATAATTCTCCATCTGAGAAGTGGAGAGAGAAAAGTTAAAGATATTAACTTTCTAACCTGGAATTAGTATTAAAAGAATATGATCAGTATAGAGAGTAGGAAGATTTAAGAAGGATTACACTAAAACTTGAATTCTGGTTGAATTTCTACTTGGTCACCCAGATCTCGGTATTCCACTTGCTTGATCACATCCACTGAAGGATGTGATCTTCTTACTTGGCATCTTATACCAAGGCCCAGTCTTCCAAGAGATTTGTACATTAACGTGGTAAATGAACAAGTTCTCCAAAAAGTGTTGCATTTCTGCAATTACTCAAATTAATTGCATAACTTTGATTGTGATCTGGAAAGATGGTAAAGAGCAGAAATGTCTCAGCTCCCTGAGACTTGAATTTAAAATAGTCTCACCTCTTGTCCTTTTGATGATAGTTACAAGCTTGTACCTTTATCATCCAAGGTTTTACTATCAGTAGCCCACTTCTGGTCTTATGGCACTGAGAAAACATTAGTTTGACCTTAAAATTCAATAATGAGTTAAGCAGAATAAATAGCTACACAGGCCAGTCCAAGGTCGCAGAGCTTCTGTTCCAAATTTTCATGTACTTCATGCATATGCATATGCATATGCTTCAGTTTTTAGAAAGAAAGGATTATAATCAGGATAGAAATGAATATTGGAACCCTGACATTTTGCACATTGCTCTGTGTAAAGGGAAGACTGCAGAATCAAATTCTGGATGTCCAAATGTGCTCAGAGTACCAACACGCTTTCCTTCCTCCTTCAGTATTCTCTAGGACATTGTACACATTTGACAAAAGGGCTGCTGTTAAAGCAGTAAAAGCCCCAGCAGAATGTTTGCTCCTGGGTGAGGGAGAAGGAGGTTAACATTAGATAAATCCTGGAAATTCAACTCTGTGCAGTGATCATGATATTGACACCTCTTGGTTTGTGGGAGGTTCACTCTAACATATATGCTATAGGGAAAAAAAGGAGGGGGGGCAAGTGGGACTTGTGATCTGTATGAAGCAGTCTCATGAGCAAGGCCAAGAAGATGGAAAAGCAATCTAAAAACAAGTGCAATTAAACAAATTAGAGAGCGTGTCTTACTGCTCAGAAAGATCAGAATTGGTTGTGGATTTGGGAAGCATGGCCTAATTATTGCACAGGCAAATGTTATTTCTAATTGAATCTTAGAGCAAGGCAAGCATATTCTTCTTCCTCAAGCAGTGGTTTTCAAAGTGTAGTCCCATGACCTCTGCTGTATCAGCGAACACCTGTCAACTTGTTACAATCTGAATTCCAAACCTGCTGAGTCAGAACTCTGGAGACAGGGCCAGATTCTGTGTTAACAAGACCTCCAGGTGATTCTGATGTGTGCTAAAATTTAAGGCAAGACCTTGCCTAAACCCACAGACTTTACATCACCAGAATATAGTCTTCTAAATCCAAGAATTATTGGATTATTCCAATTATTATTCCAATTATTATTCCAAGAATAATAATTTAGACAAGTCAATTTGAGAAACTGAATCAAATATTCTGATGAAAAAACATGTTGCATCCATCTATATGAATTCTGTATACACTACTCCTCCTCCCTATTTTTTTTCAGTTTTCATTGTTAAAGTGAGTTGTTGTATGTATTGGCTCTTCTACATATTGGAAATTTTAAGGGATACCTCTTATAAATATAACATTTTATGGTTTACAAATTATTATAAGTGTGTTTGTATATGTGTGTATATGTGCGTGTGTGTGTGTGTGTGTGTGTGTGATGCTTGTAGCATTATCTATTCTATTAGTAATTGGGGAAGGAAATGATCAAACACTTCTTAGGTTCTGTAGGCCCTGTTGTCTTCTTGGGTAAAATAAAGGGGTTAAACTTGATTTCTGAAGTCCCTTCCGCTTTTTAAGATCTATGAATTCTAAAACTGCTGAATGTTTTCTCTCTCTAATACGATAGACATTTTCATGAACATTGGCTCTGCGCTGCTGTTGTTTGTACTTTGAGCTATTTGAGGGCTCCTACATAGATACAGACTTTACATGAGAAATGGATACAGTAACAGATATTACCTATTTCACTAGGTAGAGCATTTGTTAGGTATCATAATATATGAATTGTATCTTTTACACTATCACAAACTATAATTCAGATTCATGATGTAATTTTATATATAAGATCTTATTCATCAAAACACACCACGATTTAACCCTGATTTTATTTTCCTTTTCTACTCAGCACAGGCCTTTGGCCCCAGCCAGGCTAGTTGTTCATTGTCGCGCAAACATGTCCTATTTATTCCTACCTTTTATCCTTGACCCATGTTGTTTCTTCCCACCTAAATTTCTTCCTTTCTATTACCAAACTGATCAGATAAGACTGGCCCAGATACCACTGCCTCTGGTCCTATCCTTCTCATCCTCTGAGAGTAGGGTTTATGGCTTTCTTTTCATTGTTGTATACCCAGTACCTAGCAGATTACCTGTCTTGAAGATCATGCTTAATACATATTTGCTGAATGGATTCATGAATAGCTCCTGGATTATTCTTTTTGTTCACTATGTGCCTAGCACATAATACATACTCAGTAAATATTTGAGTGCTATTGAATAGATTTGTTTTTAAGCCTCTATTTTTCTGCCTTTTACTGGATACAGCATTAACTGTCCTTCACTTATTTAGTATCCGAACAATGCTTTGGCTATCTTAATTAAAAGATGGTGTTCAAATCAGAATATGGACATTCCTCTAGTCAAATTGGCAAAACCCCTCAGGTGCTCTTGGGTAAATTTTGATCATCATCCTTTGTAAAATCACCATGTTGTAGAGCTCAGCATATTTTTTGATGGACACTGTGTAAATGAAATGCTGAATGGAACTCATTTTAGGATACTTCAGACTTATAAAGTGAAGATACCCAGTAAGCTTTTTTGCTTTCTCTCTCTTTTCCTGTATGATTGAGATAAACTAGGTTGTGATTGTCATGACGGCTGGTGCCTGGTTTGACTGCTCCTCCCCAGAAAGTCTCAATTTTTGGCTTCCTCACAGTGCTGCCTAGGATGCAGCCGGCCCTCTATCCCCGAGCTCTGGGGCCCACCCAGCTTCCTTCTGGCACTGAAGGCAGCGGCTGCTCTGCCACCCTTCTCTTCAGATAAGCATGGCTTGGAAATGCTATCTTTAGAGGTGATGAGTTTTTGTTTGGATAGAATTATGACTAGTATAAAGCCCACACATGCTAACAAGCCACAGAGTGCAAAATAATTATTGAAAGCAATTTGAGAGAAAAGTGGAAAATCATCTGAGGAAAAAACCAAAATTGTTCCCAAAGCTTTGGTCCAATTTTTTGCTGTTAGATTGAATCTCGAGCCTTAGTTTTCTGCTGCCAGGTAACCTAAGCACTGATGGCACCGTTCTTCTCTTCAGCTTTTTAAGAATTTTACTCTTTATTAAACCTTTTCTACCTGACTTCTTAACATTTTATTCCAAGTTGGTCAAAAAGATACTACATACCAAGCTTACCTTTCAGTGGACAACCAAGGAAAGAATTACATTTTGTTTGTATTTGGTTTTACTTAAATAGTGTTTGGGGTTGCTGAATATTTTCTCTTTATGTTCCTCCATGTGCATTAAGATAACCTTTTCTTCCTGAAAGGATACATATGTTCTGCCCATGGCCTCAATGATGTGCATATAAATTAATATGGCACATGTATTATTTCCATATACAGAGACTAACCCATTTGCAAGGCATGCATCATTTTAGACTACAGATTAGCTCTGCTCAAATGCTTAATTTCAAACCAATGATACTGTCTACTCACCATGAATTAGTACTAATGGTATCTCCAAATAACATGGGGAATAGGCATAATACATAAGAAATAATATACATCTGAGAGGTCTTAAAAGAAAAATTTTCCTTGAAAAGTAACAGGGAAAGAGAATAGAATGAATTCCTGTAATGCAGAGGGGTAACAGACACATGCCCATAGCACTGCAGAGTATAAATATAACACTGTGTTTGGGCGGGGGTGTAGTTTATAAGCAGAGAAGTAGCAGATCTCATATAGTCCCCTGGCCTCTCCATTATTCACAGCATAGGCTGAGCATAGATGTTCTGTATGCAGCATGGCTAAAGTCCCAGCAGAGGGGCGCCTGCCTTAGTCACAGGTCAGATGTGTAGGGAGAGCACTTCAAGAGTAAAAACGAGACCTGCCCACACATTACGTTATATATTCATAGGTTAGCTGAAGAGACTGTAGAAAACACTGTTTCTTTAAGTAACAAGAACTATGGCAATGGTTCTTTAGATTAGGCAGCATGCAAGTTGAGGACCCTAGGAACAGTCTTGCATGCCAGGAATAATGACATCAGCCAAAGGTCATGTGTTTCTGGAACCTGATTTAGACAAGCCAAGCTACTGCTAAGCTACTGAAAGTGGGAAAGCAATGGAGGCTCCAGGGCCTTCCCTGCTTTCTGTCTTCAGTTCCCATTTGGTCAGGAAAGTCACCTAGCTCTTCATCTCCACACAACTTAAAATTCCAGTTCTGGAATTAGAGCCAATAATTCTAACATTTTTAAATGGCCCCAAATAGTTCTCTAAACTTGAACATTCCTAATTGACCCACTTGAAAATAAATGCATTAAACAGGAGCTATAATCTGGAGATAACTATGTTTATTTTTTGGTACGTGGAAAAAGGTTAACTATAACATTATTGAAAACTAAACCAGGACATTTCAGTGCTACATAAGATTATCTTCATCCCAAAGATATACTCTTAAAACATTATATATGAAGAAATGAATGTATGAAGCATTACCATCCTTTGGGGGAGGGTGGAACATTGTCATTGTAAGAAGAAATCTGAGGCCTAAAAAAAAAGCTTACGATGAGTCTAAGTGGAAAGCACTCCTGTGTTTTGGTCCATAGAGAAAGATATCTTCTACTGTCTATTTCCAAGTCTCAAAGTATTGTCTTCAGACCAGCATAATCAGCATAACCTGGAAACTTGTTAGATGTGTTACTTGGGCCCTGCTCCAAACCGACAGAATCAGACTCTGGAGTGTGGCCCAGTAATCTGTATTTTTTATAACCCCTCCAGGTGATTCTGATATAAACGGAAGTTTGAAAACCACTGCCCTAAATACATCTCTCATTCCTTTCTAACAGAGCATTCTGGGAATGTAATTTCAACAATGAAAACGATTACATTACCCATATGTTTGTCCTTGTAAAATTTAGATTATTTAAAAAAAAAAATCTTCTTGGAAAATAACCATGTTTTACGTTGAGTGACATGAAGGAGGTTATTGTTAGCATTTAAATTACTTTGTGGTATAAGACTCATTAATTACTTATGTTCTTGGTAGCTGATGCTTTATTGAAAAGACCTGTGCTAGCATTAATAAATGCAAACAAAGTGGAAGGTTCTGAGGTTAATGAGATAGTGAAACATTAATCTCTGTTTCTTCTTTAATGTAAAGTGGAGACTCATCAGGTTCACTTTGTATATTTTACATTTATCTTCCCAGGAAGAACAAAGTATGCTAGCTATGGAAGATGAGGGCACAGTACAACTCCCATTGGAAGGGCACTATAGGTAAGATATAAATGTAAAAACACACCAATATGAGTACTGGAATGTGTTGTTATACACTCTACTTAAGAATTTCATATGTGTGGGTTACTATAGAGGTTTGTTGACGTTATGTTAGAGTAGAAAGAACTGAAACTAGGTGTTAGAGTACCCTGTCCCAGTACTTTCATATTCTGTGAAAGTAGTATCTGAAGACAGGTCAAGATACAATTCTGGGATAAATGAGCTAGAGGTATTTACTGAATTCATCACATGTAAATGAACTCTGGGAAAAACAGCGTTTACCCCTTCAGAAAGACACTTCCAAAGAGATAAGCCATTTCCTGAATTGAAGGATTCCGTCACACCAGTCGTTTTAGGAAACATTTATGTAACTCTCCATAAAGAAGATTGTGCTAATCTTTATGCACAAAGACAGAACAAATAGAGAAAAAACAGCAGACTCCTCTAAGTTATAATAAAACTTTTGAGAGTATTTGGCAAAAAATTATGTATATGGTCTCAAAGTGCTTAAGGATCATATAGGGCCGTACCAGTAAAAAAGCAGAGAAGATGTTTGTTCGAGGAGATTTTTCATAGTGTTAAAACTAGGAGGTGGATCTTCAGGGTCTGACTGTGAGACCACACTCCCTAGATTTAAAAAATACACTTATCATCTACCACGTAAGAGTGAGCACAAGTCTAGAAGGCATTTTTCCTTTCTCTCTCTCTCTCTCTCTCTTGTTTTTTTGTTTTTTTTACAATATTTAAATTTTAAAATCCTGTTGATTGTTTAGTTGAATCAGCATATTCCCAACTGTATTCTATAGAAATCTACCTAGCCTCTTGTGGTACCCCTCTTAAAAGGATTTTGTGGTTTAATTAGTCTGAAAAATGTTCCATACCACATTTTAATTTAGAGGTTCACAATGCACATTGGCATATTAAAGACTCTAGTACTGGCATTAAAAAAAAAAAAAAGTTTAACGTTGTTGTATCCAGCATCTTCTAAACTCTTTTGCTCACGAGACTCTTTTTCACATAATATCATGAAAAACTGATATTCTACATGACTCTCTTTTGGAAACTAGTTGATCTCATGCTTTGAGTTACCAAGGGCTGGATGAATTAGGGGTATTAAAGAACACATGTCCAGATTGGGCAAGGAAGGAGCCTGTGAGGCCTGTTTTGCTCCAGACTCTCAGTGTTCCTCTTAAAAATTGAATTTGTTGCCCTCTTGTGAATGTCCACAATGAGGGGCATGTGAGGTCAGCTTAGAATTTCTGTAGAACATGACTTTTTCCACAGCAGAGAATCTTTCTTTACGTGTGGTAAGAAGAGCGCTGACTTCTCACCCAATGAAACTTTCGTTGACTTGGCCTGTGTTTTATCTCTGTTGATATTTGGTTGCCTTTCTAGCCCTGGGAATGTTTTAGAGAGTTCTAAATGGCACCTATAATTGGTGCAGTTTTAAAATGTAAAAACTGCATGCAGCATAGTACAGGCCCTGATATTACAGGCTCCCCCAGTCATTTGGAAAAGCCTCTGTCAAATACACAGGCTGCCTTCCTTTATTCAATGAATATTTGTTGAGTGGCTACCAAGTGCCAGGCTCTGTCTAGGTCGTGGGGGAACAGCAGTGGACCAGTGGGCAAGAATCCTTGTTCTCATGAAGCTTATATTCAAGTAGAGTAGAGGTGGGGGGAGACAGGAAATAAACAAATGAACGAGTCATGTAGTACAGTATTTCAAATGGTGTAAAGTGCAACAAAATCTTAAAGCAAAAAAGAGGGATGAGGTTGCTATGAAGTGATGGAAATAGAAATTTTAAATGGAGCAGTCAGCAAAGGCCTATCTGAGCAGGTGACATTTGAACTAAGGAAGGAAAGGGTTATACCACGTAAAGGAACGTTATAGGCAGAGGGAAGAGCAAGTACAAGGCCCTGAGGGAGCAGAAAGCCTGTAGTGTCCCAGGACAGTCAAGAGGCCATTGCATTGTGGCTGGAGAGGAAGGAGCCAGGGGTGTAATAGCAGAAGGTGAAGTTAGAGGGTAAGGGTAGGGACAGGGCCTTACAGCCCATCCACTGGGCTTTTACTTTGAGTGGGTGGGAGCCACTGTCGAGTCTGAGCGGAGAGGGTGAAGAGCTCTGCTGGGCTATGAATGTAGAGGCAAGAGGCCCAGCAATGAACATGCAGAACCTAAACTCTGTCATTTGAAATGGATTAGGAAAACTGTACCCCAAACCACTTTCTATATAACTAGAATCTTTCATTTAGATTTTTATTCTTCATAGTTTATTGGGAGAGAACTATTTAATACTTAATTTTTAATTATCAAAAATACTGTACAGAGGCGTAAGACTGTCCTATATTTAGTGTCTATCGCTAGATAACTGCAATTTCTTATTTAATGTTTATTAATTTCATTTTTGGTAAACTCCTATCTAGAGATGATCCATCTGTGATCAATATTTCTGATGAAATGTCAAAGACTGCCTTGTGGAGGAACCTTCTGATTACTGCCGATAACTCAAAAGATAAGGAGTCAAGCTTTCCTTCTAAAAGGTTTGAATTCTAAAATAATGTGAATTTATAATGATCCCAGTCATTTAATGACATGAATCCGTTAAAAGAATAACATTGGTCTCCATTGAACTTAGATCTAAAATCTTTCAGAAAATTCTTTTAAAAAGTGGATAGAAATCGCAGTGATCACATCTATTGGTATGTTTTCAACATCTCCCTTTCAAATTAAAAGCTCACTCCAAAACTATGACAGTGGGGAGAAATGGTGCTATAAATGAGTCCCAATGCAGGACATTTTTGGACATTCATTTTAGCATACTCTTTTGCAGTAGGATTTTAGTGTATTCCCTCATCACCCACTTCTCAGGACCCCCTTAGATGTCTGACCACGTTTTTCATTCTCCTGTTGTCCTTTGTAAAATCCATATGGCACATGCAATGGTAATTTTGTATTTAGATTATTTCCAGTCCCTTATTCCAACCCCCTGAAAAACCTTCCCTAACCTTTTTACCCCAAAACTTTCAGTTCCAGAAAGTTTTATCCATTTTTTCTTCTCTGTATGCAAACATTACAAACAACTCCTGCAGTTGTGGATGATAGTTTTAAATGCATGAGGTGGGAAGAGTGTGTCCTTAAATATTAAGAGTCATCACAGGATTTCCAACTGCATTTTCCAGAATTTATAAATAAGAGTTCAAACCATCCAGTCTTCTTAGATGGTGATCTGAAGAAAATCTCTGTATTATGCCGATATTTCTTCTTATTAAAGAGTGATTGAGGGATTTGGGACGGTGTTTAATTATTAATTTCCTTTATTTTCATGACCTTAAATTAACTTTTTCTACTTAATTTTTATATTACATTTTTGTCATAAGCTCCCCTTCCTAATCACTCTAGAAGCTGATTCCCCAAAGGTAAGACCCTTTCCCTCAAACCTATTCCTTGGTTGCATTTCCTTTTGTTAAATGGTGTCTTCTAGAAACCTGGTCAGCCTATGTTCTTTGTGTGAGTTTTGGGGAGGCAAAAGGCGTGGAGAGTCTCGGGTTTAGATCCAGTGTCACATTGAGTGTTTACAGTGTTCCTATAACCACTCAGCTCTTTAAGAGGGTTTGAAGCTTGAGTAAACATTTTTCCCCATGTGACATACAAATGCATCATATATAAATCAACAAACCTCTTAGAACTGTATTTAATAATAACATCAAATTTCTATATTTGAAAAAGAAAATTTATCCCTTGAATTAAGAAATTGCAAAGCTGGGAAGGTCCATTTACGCACCACCATGCTTCCAAAGCTGCAAGATTTATCTTCATGAGAACTATCTGGAAACATGGATTAGAAAAAGAGGCGATATTAGACTTAGAGGATATCTCTTATTGATGGTTTTTGTCACCCCAAAATGGCATGCTGCTTCAGTGTCATATCTATCTTAAACAGCATAAGCAACACCAGCAGTGGATGTGCAGAGAGTCTAGGAGTCTTCACCCCATAAAGCTGGGGGATTACTTCATGTTCTCCCTCTCTTTCTCTCCTTCAAATACCTCCACCACTTGCTCCAAAAGGAGGTTAATGTAAGTTACTCAACAGGCTCTCTCAAAGACTTTTGGTTGATATTTTCTGTCTTTTAACAAGGCTTTAAAATCTTCATGTATTTCTTTGTTTGGCTCAAGCAGAAGTAATATTTTATCCTAGAACATGCTTTATCTTCTTTTCCCAAAGATCCCTGCTACAGTCTGATAGAGTCATCCTCACAGTAGCTCTGATTTGCTAGACGTCTTGGAAGAAAATCAGTCATGAGAAGGGCAGTTTCTCAAGCCTATTGAAATATATGCTTGTGGACCCTTTCTCATTAAAAATATGGCATTTCTCTGATTTTTAAAAATGTGAACTCCAGGTTTACAAGCTCAAAATAAAATGCCAGCCATGGGAATATGTGTAGAATTTGAGACAATCAGACTTAGAGATTGCTTTTCTTCCTGTACTCTACAGATCCATAGTGAAAACTCTTTCTCTATTTTTCTTTGGTTCAAGCAACAGTTTTATGTTATGATATTTTAGGTACTCCTTAAAGTAAATAAGTCAAGTGATGCTTTTCACCAGAAAAACTCAATTGTTTAAAATATGTGTCAGATTACTTCTCACAGTAGACTAATTCTAGTGAACAATGTAGTGTGCCTAAAAGCAGATGCAACTTTAAATAGATCACCCTTTATATTTTCATATAACCATTTTCTTCTTATTCTTTGAACCTATGTTCCCACTAACATGAGATTCAAAACTATTGTGGAATGAAAGTTTGCCCAGTTTTCTTTACTTTTAAGTGTGATAAAATCTGTAGCTTTCCACGTGAAAAATATCTCTCGGTTAGTTATTAATGTCTTTCTTCTTCATAACAGAGGAAACCGGCAGAAAGAATGTGGCTTCCAGAAATCCTAAAACCACCAATACTAACAACAGCAATACTCTCCCCAAGCCACCTCTTTCTCTCGGTATCTGTTGAAGGCATTGAAGTGTGATGACCAGGAACTGTAAAAATGCTATACCTGCTAGCGTGTCCATTGGCAAAAAACGCCCTAAAGACCAGGTTCTCAGGGTCTCTCTCTTGAGACCTCAGCTGGCTTCCCAGCAGTCTCTGACACCCCACCCCTAGGTGTTTTCATCCTATCCCCCACTATAGGCCCTAATGCCTATCAGAGAAGCCTAGATACCTTTTCTAAGTGGAATTTGGAATAGCAGTTGTATTTTCTCCATTATTTCATTCGCTTTATGTTGTCCAAAAAAATTTACCCAGCTTAGGGCTTCCCTGGTGGCACAGTGGTTGGGGGCCTGCCTGCCGATGCAGGGGACACGGGTTCGTGCCCTGGTCTGGGAAGATCCCACGTGCCGCGGAGCGGCTGGGCCCGTGAGCCATGGCCGCTGAGCCTGTGCGTCTGGAGCCTGTGCTCCGCAACGGGAGAGGCCACAGCAGTGAGAGGCCCGCGTACCGCAAAGAAAAAAATAAAAAATAAAAAATTTACCCAGCTTAACTGAAGGAGGGATCTAAGAACTGACTGCAGGTTTTACCACATCTGCAGGATGTCTAATTTGATCCTAGTTCAACAGCACTATACATGCATGGGACAAGCTCCTCCACAGCTTATTTAAATGAATTGACAGAAATAGGTCACATTAAAAACCACATCGCATCAGGATAGGTGAGCAACTGCTGTGATACTCTGACACCCAAGACCAGCATTTCTTGGGCAGGTACCTGGCAGCACTTGGCTTTGCCTTGGTGACAGAGGCTAGGGTCTAGGGACACTGCCCCTGCTCTCCTGTCCCCACACCCCCGCCCCCTTCCATGCTGGATGCTTCTTTGCTCTAATTTCCTAGGCCTCAGCCCTCTCATGACTGCTTGGTAAATGTTGTGTATATCAACTACTATGGTGTCATTGACAAATAACAGTTTCATAGAGTGCCTGGCAGCATGAAGGTAGTGGGTCACATTTTGCCCTCTCTTGAAATATTACTTCCTTATGTTTTGTCTCATCCATCTTGTGTCCCTTGGTCCTTACAAAGTACCTGGTGTATAATAGATATGCAATATTTGTTTATTGTAGTAGCATGTAATAGATATGATATACATTTAATAAATATATATTGATATAATATATTGATTACAGTGGAAGTTTAGAATTGATTGGCATCCTGAAAATGAATGTAACAGGGAATAAAGAGAGTAATAGCTATGGACTAAGAAGATTCAAGTCAGTAATATTTTTTCATAGCAGTCTTGAGCTGGTTACAAAATTTCTGCTTCATTGCTGCAATCTGATCTGATACCAGAACCACTGGTTTTAAAGAGGGGGGAAAAGAGCCTAATCATTTAATTGGTTATTGTTTTGTAACTAAACAGCCAGTATGACCAAAGCAGAACATCAGGAGGAAGCATGTCTGTGAATGATATTGACTTTCTGAATCGCTTTTTTTTTTTCACTGCCTGGTGGCTAATAGTGTCACTGGGAATTTGCTCACTTATGGAAAGGTTATGGAGCATTGTGCACACAGGAACTGTGCATCTGTAGAGACCAGTATGTCTCCATCCCCACAGTCTCCTACAGATAGAATGTGCTTTTCTATCTTTCAAAAGTTAGAGCTCATTGGAATTGAGACTACCAGCCTCAGAATTCTGACATTCAAGCTACAAGAAAATTTAGAGGCCATTTAGTCCAAAACTAATGTACAGATGAGGAAACCAAGTCCCAGAGAAATTAAACAACTAGTCCAGGGTCACGCAGCTCATTCTTAGCTTCCTGAAGCTGAATGTCATCTTCCGACTCCAAGCCCAGGGCTTCCTCCACCTGCCCCCGCTGCCTTTTCTCATTGGCTTTGTTTGGCAGAAGACACTAGGAGCCAGGTAGCACCCAGGGAAAAGTTAATCTGGAAAGTAGCGTAGCAGACACTTGTCATCTGAAAGGAACTTAAAGTAGACGAAAGTGAGTCATGCAGATAGAGGAGTTAAAAATACAGTTAAGCCTCTCAACACGTCATGTGCACACTGTCATCTCTTCTCATGGAAGGAGAACAGAAAAGAGGAAAAGTCGCTTTGCTCTGACCTGTAAGTGCTGTGTGCTGAGAAGTGTGGCAGGCACAAACCCGGGTGCCGTCGACACCCGCTCACACCAGCTCTCAGCGCTGGCGGCGCGCCAGAGATGGCAGAAGCTCCGGCACTTCTTACCTGATGGCGCCGGGTGGTGGTGACAACTGAGAAGGGCTGTTTCTAGCTTGAATTGGAGGAAAAACAATTTAAAAAACACACTCTTAGAATGTGTCTAAGTTATTGACCACTACGAAAGCTGCACAGGAGGTCCTGTAGGAAAAAGGGGGCTTTAACGGTCCCTTTCCTATTTTGAGAAGAGTTATATAAAACCAAGGGTTTCCCCACCATCAACTATTTCATAGTTATGTTAATAGCCAAAGTTAACAGTAAAAATGTGTGGGTTCTTGCAGCTCAGGGCCCCAGCGGCCGGGTGTGGGTCGCCCTCGAGTCGGCCGCAGCAGGGGCCCGGGAGGGGCCTCAGCGTTCGGCTTGGCCCGCGCCAGACGTGGCCGGGAGGGAGCAGAGCTGCCCCTCGGGAGCATGCGTGTACTCTTGGTGTGAGCTTCATGCGTGTCAGCGCATTATTTGAATTTCCCGTGAAAATTGTCAACTTGAGAGTAGGAAAAGTGAACATCGGAAAAATATTTTTGAAAAACTGATAGAGTCACATTACCAGTTTGCCCATTGATAAAGTTAATTGGAGAACAGCTAAAACAGAAGCCACTTGGGAATGAGTTTATTCTGGAAGGAGTGAGGTGAAACATGCTTCCTCTGATGGACAGGAGGAGGGTTTCTCTGTGAAGAGATGGCACAGGTGTTTGGAGGGCAGTGTGCGGGTTGACCGGGTCCTCCCGACCAGCAGAGGCGTGTCTGTCCTCTGGATGACAACGCAGTTCTCACCAGAGATCAGAATCCAGTCTGTGCACAAAGGATGCGCCACTTGCAGCAGGGCCCAGAAATACCTACTGCAACATCCATCTTGTTTATGTCATTCATAGTGTCAGTGCTATCTTAAGACAGGGGCATGAATGGCATTTTCAACAACCATCAGTGATTCATTTGCACAAATGAGGACCATGGTATTAATCTTGCATGCTTTGGGTACTGTTTTTAAGATGTCTGGTTTTTGTTTTTTAGTTTTTATTTCTTGAATTTCCCTTTTTCTGCAGTTCTTGGTTTCTGTCTCACTGAGTGCAGAGGATTTTAATAGCTGCTATTATCTATCTATGCTTTACAGCATGAAAGAGCAATGCCTAAGGGCCCTTGTGGTGCTTTGGGGTTGATGGGTTTTGTGTGTGAACCAGCAGACCTCCCAGTAGCCATGCTGGATTGAAATAATACATTTCTCCTTTTTCCCCTGTAGCACTGAAAGCCGAAAAGAGAAGAAAGCTGACTCAGGGAAAGGTGTTGACAGGGAGACTTGTCTATGACTTGATCTTCAATTTATTTTTTACATATATATAAGAGGAGTGCCACAATTATTCATAAAACTGCTTTGATCGTGTATTATAAATTCTGTCTTTCATCCCAAATCCACCTTCATACTGTAAGTAGTGCAATACTCGTTTCATTTCTGTGTTTAAACTTCTGAAGAGTGAGACACCCTTGTGAGCAGATACAATAGCTAATGCAAGAATCTCTGTGTTCCTTGCTGTATTTTAGACATTTGTAAACACTAGATTCTCATTGTCAGTTTTACGAGAGCAATAGCTTTCTTAAAGAGATAAGTCATATTACCTAGTTTGTACTTTCCCACTTAGAGACCTGAAGATACCTGATAATTTCATTTAGAAGAATTTTAAAAGGTAGTCTTACTTCTTTTTATTTTTTATAGCTTAGCATTAGTGACTTATTTCAAAAGACCCAAATCGAAAAGTTAGTTTGAAAGCATTTTTTAATAATTGTATTTATGCATTTCCTTGATTTAATATGATACATTTAATACTTAAGAATTTGTATGTAACTAAAACTTAAAGTCATTTTGAAAAATATATGTGGAAACCTATTCACAACTTGTTTAAACGAATCAGATACTAATGCAAAGAGTCAAGTAGTATTTGCTTAATATTCAGGTTGTGATTACATGATCAAATACTAGGCTTGTATGAAATGCTTTAGAAAATCTTTGTAGGTTTTGTGAGATTTTCAATATAAACCTTTATCAGAAATATGCTGTTACATTTACCTCCCATTGACAGCAAGTGTTTTCCAAATAAACCTATTATATACATACTTGTGGAATGCCACATGGTGAGTTATTGTACATGAAATTCCACTCCTGTACAGTTATTCCACTGCTAAAGGTCATGGACTGCTTAATGCTGCTTCTGAATCATGTTCTAATGTTAGACTGATAGGTCTCCACTTGTCATTTTTTCTTCTGCAGAGCTCTTTTCCACATTTTAATTAAATTCATGCTGTAGAAAAATAATCTTTTAAATGAAAATTTCAGATTCTGTTTGAGAAGCTTCTGTAGATATTTCAGTCTATATGAAATAATCCATCTTTACTAAGTTTATACAAGAGGAAGGAAAGTTAAGAATTTTTGAGCATTACTAAAAATACAGTATTTTATTTCACTTCAAGTGAATGTGAATTAATAAAGATGAAATCTCATAGTGCTCTTGTTTCCTAAGAATTACCAATGATCATCAGCCTTATAATTGTCAGTGTCCAGTTTTACGATAATTCAGAGTCCTGTGGCTTTTCCAAACTATGAATTAATATTCTGAGTATAAGTGTACATGAAAAGTGAAAAAAAAAACCCAAAACAAATCCTCTTGTGATTAAGCTTATGAAGGAAATAAACAACAAAGCCTCCACTGGGTTCAACATTTTGATGCCTTCTGTAAAATTCCCCCTCACAATCTTTCAAGGAGCCGTTTCGTTTATGGAACATAAGCCTAAAAAATGTAAGAAGAGTTTGTAGTTAATGAAGTCTGTGTTTATAAATGCCAAGGAAAAATACAGAAACTTTACATGCCAAATGCATTGCCTTTGTGTATTTTACAATACAGATACTACATGTAACCATTCCCATTGTTTTATGACTTAGACTAGCTGTACATGCCAGTCAGTCCCAAAAGCAGCCTCCTAGTGTTTTAATATATTAATAATTGTTCTGTTTAAAATGATCATAGTGAATTAAAACCTTCACATGATCACCTATTTGAATAAGCACTCATATCCAATGAAATTCTGTATTTCTGAGTATTTTTATAGTCATTTTGTTCTTGTGTGAATTTTAATGCTATCCATATGTTAATCTTAATATTTTGAAATCATATAAAATATAAGAAAAATGTTGTGTTATATATTTCCTCCTAATTTCAGATTCCTGGTCAAAATTACTGAATATCTTGAATGTAATTTATTGCAAAGTTTAAGTAATGTGTAAATGTGACTAGGATATTGTGTTTTTCACCACTAAGAAATGTTATGTGGAAATAAATATTTATCCTAACTAATTTCCTTGCAAATTTTAAACTGTGATGCAAAGTGTTTTGTCTTTTTTTCCTTATCAATGTAGAACATTTTGATTGAACGTAATATTTAAATTTAGACACACCCCTGATGTTAAGCAAACTTGGTGATGTAGACATTTCAAGAGTATTCAAACAATTTGAACTTTATGAACAAACTATGATGAGAGCTGTATTAGGATGTACCTCTTCAGTTTCCCAGAGAGCAGTGACTTAGATACAGATGACTAGTAAAAGCTTCTAAGATCCTTAGTAGGATTTCCCATTATTAGAACTCCTTAGGCTTCGGTTTTTACCCGTCTTGGGAAAAGCATTTTCTAAAATTTGTCTCCTCCCTGTTTGTTACAGTAGATCAGACGGGACCAGTATTCTTTTGTAGCCATCTAGCAATATGTTATGGAGGTAACTGCATTCAGAACTGTAATGTACTGGTTAGTATTCTCCTCTTGACTCATGAGTTTACTTTGTAATTGCTATCACTTAACAGCCTTCAATGTTGGGAAGTTCCTCCTAAATATAATTTGAGTATCTCCTTGGTGTAGTTTAGCCTTATAGAAACTCTGCACTGATGATTCACTAGCAACTTGTATTTCAATACAATCCCTAAATCTTTTAGGATTTTTCTTGGCTTTTAAAAGTGTGGCTCATTATTTTTTTAACCTACACTGATCTACCTCTGTTTCTATTGAACTTTAGCCTCTTTGCTTCTAGGTGTGGGACTATTTTACTATAATTGCAATATTGCTCTCCAAATTTTCCACTATATCTCTCTTGTATATTCATACAATGAAATGAGATTACAACCAGTTGAAAATTTTATGAGAGTAATTTGGGTAATATGATGATTCTCTAACTATCTACTTTGAAAGTCTGGTTGTAATCAGTCCCCTTGGAGAAGCCCAATATTCAAGGATTACTCGTAATACTTTTAGAGAGCTCTTTCGGTGTTTTCCTTAGAAAACTGTAGCTCACGGACACAGCTGTCACTTCATTACAGTTTCTATTGGTGTAATGGCCACTACTTTTTGTGCTGGAACTTTGAAAATAGGACTGTAAGCCTCGCTTCTAAGGGCAGGGTAGACACATAACTGTAACATAATGTGATGTGTACTGAGTTGGTTGTATGATGAAAGTGAGTAACTCAAGGATGGAATTTTGAGTAGGGCTAAGTTTGAAGAAAATGTTATATAAGAGGTAGCGTATGAATTAGGATGGATATGGGGAAGGAAACCTACTCCAAGAACTGCAAAGATCTCAAACATGTCAGTATTGAAAAAATAAAATAGAAAGTAAATATATGTGGTATAACAGGAGCCTGACATATGTGATGTATGACATATTTGAAATTCAGCAGACAGCCCAATATGGTGGAGTGTTAGGAGTGTGGTCGGGACCTGTATGAAGAGGTAGGAATACAAGTTGGAGACATTATGAATGATGTTAAATTTTATGTTAGGATATTTCAACTTTATCCATTAAGAGTTTTGAGTAATGGAGAGGCATGCGTTTTGGGAAAGATTAGTCTGGCAGCATGGTAGAAAACATAGTGGGGGAAAAGTGAAATTATTTCCTTAGGGATCCTGTACTCAGGATGACTCTCAGAGACTCAAACCAAACTCTCATTGAGTGGTCTATAAACTTTTATTATGATTGAAACAAAACAGGCTCAAGCATATTCTGTAGGCACTTAATAAGTAACTACAGGCACAAGAACTTTATGATAAATCCTTTCACATAGAGCATTCCTTTATATAATGTTTTGGGTTGTATTTTTCAAAAATGTTCAGAAGAACATGGTATCAGCAGTAATCCTGAGACGATTAAAGAAATCTAAGTGTAGTACAAAATTCAGCCAATGGCTGGCTCATATGAGTCCAGAAACCACCCTCCCGCTGCTCACCTTTTCATCCCACTTATCTCATCCATCCATAGACTTAGCTTTAGATCTAGGTACTTTTACTTTCAAGCATGTGTAGAGTCATAGATTTCTTCCATTTGTTTATAAGCTCCTTAAAGGTAAGGATAGTGTTTTATCCCTTCTTTGTAACTCTCCGGAGCCTAGTTCTTTCTGTGCTTTGCTGTTTATTCAGCCAGCAAAGGCTGTAGGCAGAATCGTAAGTAAAATATATCGAAGATGTGGCCTCTCAGTTTATTAAGAATAATTAAGGATCCAGAAAGGATTCTCACTGACATGGCAGCATCGGAACAAAAGCAAAAGCTTACTGAGCACCTTCATATGCCCAAAACCTGCGGACACAAGACGCCTAAGGGGAGAACTGGTGTAACCCATGGAATCATCAAACCAGGCATGGTGTATAAACCTCCACAGCAATGCGACAGGTATGGGAGGTAGGTATTTTGGTATCTCTTTCAAATTAAGTAACTGGGGTTCAAAGAGGCTAAGCAGTGTTCTTTAAAATGTTCCTCACTGTGAGTGTCGATGCTGAGATTCTAACCCACGTCCGCCTAGCCTCGGCTGGAGTGCACTGACTGTCCAGCAGGAGGCAAGACGTGGCCACCTTCCTCCTTGACCAGCCAGTCATTCTGGCTCATGCAACCAGAATTGGGTTGAGTAATATTTCTTCTCAGTATGTTACATTTTCTTTGTCACTCATCCTTCTGTGATTAACACTAGAAACCAAACCTACTCAATGAAGTACTATTTTTGCTCACAAGTCACAAATATCTTGACTTTTGATAGGAGAAACTAATTGGAACAATTAGAGTTTTTGTTGTTTGATGGGTCACACTTTTCACCATACGTGCGTTTTAAATAATCTGACAAACTTGGGGTGACTGTTAGATGAAAGATTATTTAGAATAAGAATTTTGACTGAGTCTGCTGGAGTTCAGTTCCAGAAAAGACACCCTTCTCAATTTGGCAGTAAGAAAATTATCTTTCTTTTTATTAATTCAAAGCCTTGAGTTTAAATGTTAATATTGTCACA